TACATCTTCAAAGAAGGGTCACCAGGAACAACCCAAAACAAAAATGTCAGCATGACTGGCTACTATAAGAATAAGCAAGCTGTTCTCCAGGAAGCCATCAAGGCAAGCAATCAAGTTCCTGAAACACACGAACAGGCATGTAAGCTTGCTGGCAACCACATTGGTCTACTGGTGAGTGGAAGAGGGGGAAAGGCAGCAATGAAGAAATGGGCTGAGTTCAACCACAGTCCATCAACCGCTGTTGACCTGGAGATGAGAGAGAGAAGAGGAAGGGCTGGTTGGTCCAAAGTGTGGTGAGACCTGGGGACACCTGAGCCCATGGACTTAACACAGGATCTATTCTGCACAATGTTCCATGTGCACTAGAAAAGAAGGCAGTTGGGTTGAGTGTTCTGTATAAGTTGTGCTTAGTTATTGTCTTTGTCAAGTTTCTCTTTAGTTGTTCTGTTCTTCAAGGAAAGTGGTGTATTAAAATCCCCTACTATTAACTGTCCTGGTAGTGCTGTAAAATAAGCACTGGACTGCTAACCACAAGATTAATGGTTCAAACCCACCCGTCATTTCTTGGACACCCTATACAGCGTTGCTAAGTTGGAAGCAACTCGAAGGCATTTAACAACTATCATTGTACAGTTGCTTATTTCTTTCTTCAGTTCTGTTGAAGTTTGACTAATATATTTTGAGGTTCTTTCATTGGGAGCATAGATATATATATTATGGTAACACCTTCTTTTTCAATACACCCATTAATCATGATACAATGTCCTTATTTGTCTCTGATGCTGTTTTTTTACCTTAAAGTTTATCAGAGATTACTATTGCCATCTCTACTTGTTTTTGATTCCTGTTAGATTGGTAAACATCTTTCCATCCTTTGGTTTTTAGTCTATTTTTGTCTTTATGAGTAAGGTATGTCTCTTATAGACAACATACAAAAGGATCCTGTTTTCTTATCCACTCTGTTACTGTCTTTTGACTGGTACATTTAATCCATTTACATTAGTGTAACTATCTATAGGTATGAATTGATTGCTGTCATTTTTGCTGTGTGCTTTTTTGTGGTGCTACTGGTTTCTTTGTTCCACATAATTTTCTGCAGTGAGCTAATTTTGTTTGTGGGTTTTCATTTTCTTCGTTGCTGTTGCTTTCATTTTCTTTGAGGTTACCCTGTATTTCATTTTCTCCCCATTTTAAAAAGTGTGTTTTATCTTGAAATTTACTTGACTTCCTTGTCCTTTGGAAATTCTGTATCTAAACAATTCCCTTTTTGCTCTGTAATTGTCTTATATCTCCAGTTCCCTATTTTCAGTCTCGTAGGTTTGTTTTAAATATTTACATTTCAGGAATTTTTTTGAGTTCTGGTGTTGTCATGCATAATAATCTCAGGTTGTTGTCTGCTATTATTGGTTCTTAGTCCAAAGAAAACCCTTTATTATCTTTTGTTTTGTACAAACTTCTTTAATTTCTGTTTATCTGGGAATGTCCTAATTTCCCCATAATATTGAGGGACAATTCTTTTTTCTTTCAGAGTTTTGTATACATCATTCCATTGTCTTCTTTCATGCATGTTTTCTGCTGAGAAATCAAAGCTTTCTCTTATTGGTTCTCCTTTGTAGGGAGATTTTTCTTACTTCCCAACATGCTTTCAGGATTCTTTAAATTCAATTTTTCAGAGTTTGATTATGATACATCTTGGTGAGTTTCTTTTGGGGTCTATTCTGTTTGGGGTTTATTCAGCTTTTTGCATCCTTATCTTCTCATCATGTTAGGGAAGTTTTCTCTCCAACAATTTTTAATGTGCTTTTGTCTTTTCTTGTTCTGGAATTCTCATCATCTGTAAGTTATTCCTCCTCATGGTGCCCCACATAAACCTTAGGCTTTATTCAGATTTTTTCTTTTAGCATACTTGTTAAGTGCTGTTGAGTTGGTTCCAATTCATAGCAACCCTGTACAGGGTTTCTGAGGAGCAGCTGGTGAGCCTGAACTGCTCATCTTATGGTTCAAACCAACCTTGCAGTCCAGTACATTAACCTGCAGCGTCGCACAAGGTATTAAGAAATTTATCTTCAAGCTCAGTAATTTCGGCTTCCATTGATTCAAATCTACTCCTTTGCCTTTACAATATGTTATCTATTTCTGAAACCAGGACTGGCTCCATTAGTCTGGAGCATGGCTCACCTAATTCCAGGCACTGGGAGAGGTTCACTTAGTACCTAATTCATAATTAATCCTCTGGATTTCTATTTGCAAGTTTTGTATTATCTCTAATCTTTCATCTGTTTTGTCTGTTTGTTCCTGTAGTAGTTTTTTTTAAAATACTTCCAAAGGTTTTTCTGTGTTCTCCTTGCTTTCTTTGATCTTTTCAGTTGTTGAAGGTACTTAAATGCTATTCATTTTAATTCTTTTTCAGGTAGTTTCAATGCCTTTTCTTCCTTAGAAACATTTTCTGGCTCTGCATTTTGGTCACTTGTTTGAGCCACACTGTCATATTTCTTCATGTGAACTGAAATTGTCTGTTGTCTCCAAAACACTGTGGTCTCGTATTTGTAGTTAATTGATGATTGTATGTCGGTATAGGCACTGAACCCACTGCATCATGGTGGATGTGATTAGAGAGGAAGCATGTATACAGTTTTCCATTCACTATTTGTGCATCTCAGTATAGATTGGGTTTGGCTGGTGTTGACTATCATTGATCAGGTAGCATAGCAACTGGTATTAACTCTTCCTGGGGGTTGGGTTTGCAAAGGATGCAGCTGTGACTGGGCTGTGCACCATTGCTTTCTCCTATCAGGTGGGGCAAAAGAGAAAACACACAGAAACACATGATAAAATAACAAAAATAAGTGAACAGCAAAAAAAGAGAAAACAAGGAGAAAAACAACACAATACAATAAACCAAAAGAGAAAGCAGGGAAGCAAAAGAAAGCCATGGAAAAGAAAAATAAGAAAAAGCACTAAACACAATTAGGGAGAGGGAAGAGAAAAAGCCTAGAGAGTAGTAAAGAAAAATCAAGAGCAAAAAGAGATGTTAAGCATCACCGAGTAATTTCCAACTGATAGCGTTTCCACGGAGTGACTGGTGGGTTTGAACTTTGCAGTTAGCAGTCTAGTGCTTATCTTACAATGACACGTCAGGACTCCTGACACTAGTCTATTATTTCTTTTTTATGTGTCAACTATGATTTTTTATACTGCCAGTCACGTACTATATTATAAATACTGTTAATAAAGCAGGGATTTTCCTTCTTCTGAAGGAGATTGCTTTATTGCCTTTGAGAATAAATTTATGAGAGGCACCCAGAAGTAGATGTTACAGTATTCCCTTTCCAGAGGCTTCAGGTGGCAATAAATGCATTATTGTTGCTGAGATTCGTATGTAGTTGTTAGGAGCCATTGAGTCAGTACCGGCTCAGAGCGACCCTATGCACACCAGAACAACTGCCCAGTCTTGCACCAATTTCACAATCGTTGCTACACTTGAGTCCATTGCTGTAGCCACTGTGCCAATCCATCTCTCTGGGGGGTCTTACTCTTTATCGCTGACGCTCCACTTTATCAAGCATGATGTCCTTAAAAAAGCAGGGACTGGTCTCTCCTGATATGTCTGAAGTCTGAGAGATGAAGTCTCACCATCCTGGCGAGCATCCTACTGTACTTCTTCCAACACAGATCTGTTTGTTCTTCTGGCAGTCCATGGTATTTTTAATATTCTCCTCCAACACTATAGCTCAAATGCATCAACTCTTCTATAGTCATCCTTATTCACTGGCCAACTTTCACATGCATATGAGGCTATTAAAAATACCAGGACATAGGGTTTCTGAAGAGCAGTTCAAACCAATCTTGCGGTCCAGTGCTTAACCTACAGCACCACACCAGGACTTAATCAGTTTATCATCTGCTAGCTTATTACAGACCCTGGTGTGTCACTGTAGGATCAGGAACTTTGAACCAAAAAAATCCATCAGCTTCTCCTTGAAAACCCAGTACAGCATCACTATGAGTCGGAACTGACTCAACTGCAAACACCACCAGGTCTATGACGTACATCATTAATATATACTCACTACAATTCTATGAAGGAGTCCTGGTGTGGTACTGTAGGTTAAGCACTGGAACACAAGGTATGTTTGAACCACAAGGTTGGTAGTTCAAACCCACCAACCACTCCTCAGAAACCCCATACAGGGTCGATATGAATCAGAATTGGCTTGACAGCCCTTAGCAACAACAATCCTTTGAAAAAGAAACCACCATGCCCATTTCACACATAAGGCTAAAGATTTTGAATGCTCCCTAGCAAGTAAGAAAGACAAGATTTAAACTGTCAGGCTCCAAATCTTTCTTTAGCATGTAACAATGACAAAGGGGTTACCTTTCACCAACGAATGTGCCTTCCTAGCGATTTTTCTGGAAGGAATATTGTATAGTATAGTCCTGGTGTGGTGCTGTAGGATAAGCACTGGACTGCTAACCACAAGGTCAGCAGTTCAAACCCACCACACACTCCTCAGAAATGCTATACAGTGTCGCTATGAGTCAGAACTGACTCAATGGCACTAACATCAACAACAGAACCTCAAAGGAAAAACAATGGTGTAATGTGGTGGTGGTGGTGTGCTGTGGAGTTGGTTCCGACTCAGAGTGACCCTGCACAAGGTGTCCGAGGCTGTAAATCTTCATGGAAGAAGACTCATCTTTCTCCTGCAGAACAGCTGGTAGTTTTGAACTGCTAACCTTGAGGTTAGTTAGTAACCCGATTCGTAACCACTACGCTGCCAGAGCTCCTTAAATGTTACAGATGTAATAGGTTCCTCTAAATAAGAAAGTAAAATCTAAAATTATTTAATATGTATAAGGAAATACACGTTCTAACATAAGAAAAGGTATTGTATTATTATTATTTTATTATTTAACATAGTAGTGACTACACCAGATCATATTTTCTCAAGTGGCAAATGAGGCAAAGCATAACATTCTTCTCTGATTCCTAATGAGAACCTTGAAATTATCTGTCTTTTGGAGGATTCAATTTCTTACGACGTCTGTGATACCTTAAAAAGAAGGAAAAAAATCATAGAGATTATTTTTATAAAAGTTAACTGCTCCAATAGAAATATTAAATTTCTGTTATTACCTTGCTGTTTCATTAAAACTATTTTGCATAATTCATGAAATATCAGAGATATTTCTTAAATAAGTCAAATGTCCTAACTATGAAAATTATATTCTATTAACTAAGTATTTTGATAATTCTTCTTTTAGCTCCTGAGAATAATTTCAACATACTAACCTGGACTACTGTTTTTTAATTAAAAATTAATGTCTGCTTGCTCTTACAGGAAAGAAATATATTGTGAACATGTATTTAAACATTCTGTATTAAAGTATCATTAAAAAAAAAAAGTTTTCCTCTAAATGGAGGCCTTTTATGCTGTAAAATCATGTCTTTACATACAATAGGATACAATTAACAATATGTGTATGGGAAAATGTGCAGCAGTCCAAAAACACAGGAACATTTTATTGGTAAATCATAATGTCCAACACAAACATGGGCATGATAAAAAGCAATATCAGACCCAACTGACAAAAGTTTTAATAAAATACTCTTGAAAAGTAGTATGCCAATACATATGAAAATTTTTTTTAACATTTGTAACTTTTGTCTAGTAACTGCTCTTCTGGAAATCCTAAAACAATGAAGAAAAATAATTATAATATTAAGGGTGCAAATTTGTATTTACACTATAACTGTTGGTGCTAAGTGCCATCAAGTCAGTTCTGACACATAGTGAGACCCTGTATAGAGTTCCTGAGGAGCGGCTGGTGAGCTTGAATTGTTGACCTTGCAGTTCAATCGACTTTGCAATCCAGCTCATTAGCCCACAGCACCACACCAGGGCTCCTATAATGAAAACTATATAAAAATGAGTAAAGTAATAAGACTTATTTTAAAAATGAAAGATTTTAAAAATGAAAGGTACCATTAGCAATACTATCTTTTGAGTGATGAGATCATAGAGAATTTTGTTTGCCTTTCTATGTTTCCTTATGTTTCTTCTTTCAATTAA